CGTTCAATCAGTACATCATAGCATGCGGTGCCGGCGAGTTATACTCCACTTACGTCATCGCGGCCGGATTGCGGTTTTTTGACATATTGTGTTTTGTATTTTTTAATCGTAATACATACTACAGCAAGTGATTTTTGTGAATATACATTGATTGATATAGAGGCCGTTTTATTTCGTGTAGTTTTTTAGATATCGATTAAGGTTTGGTCGCCGGTTTTGTCGCCCGCTCAGCTGATCGAAGCAAGGAATTGACCAATTTTTTTGAGTTTGTGTTGAAAGTGTTTTTTAACGATGACGGATCCGTATGATTTTAACCATGAATTGCGAAATGTGCCTTGGGTATGTTTTTGTTACGAATAATATTATCTAATTTATATTTCCGCTTATTAGTATTTTACATAACAGCCTTGATTTTGATGTCCATAAATATGTTAATGATTTTACACACGAATATATACTTTTATACATATATCCATATGGAATACTAAACAGGAAAACTGAACTATTTGTAGGGAAGAAGGTCCAATCTATAATGTTGCCTTTATAAATATACAAACTGTATGGGGTTGCAGTTGGTTTAGTTTTTCGTTTAATGTGTGGAGATTCTTCTTGTAGTTCCTTCTCTATCTGAGGTTGGTTATCATCACAGCTATCCGTACCTTATTGGCTTCTGCTTGAAAAGATCTACTGAGCTGCAACTATACCACTTCTTAGGTTTCTTATCCAAGAAATTCTTGGTCTTCTATGGATTATTTACCCTTGATTTTACCTTGCATTATGAGCCTTAATATCTCATATTTCGCACCTTTAGTAATCTGGCCTAAATGTTCCAGCTTTCTTGTTTCGATGTGCTTCTCGCAATCCTTTGTAACCTTTTTAACACTTCTGCATTTTGGGACTCGTTGGGTCCATGGTATTTTCAAATCCTTTTATAGCACCTTTAAATGATTCCAACTTCTTTAAATTATCCACTTTTAGTGTCCAGCTTCTCCATTCCATACAACAAAGTCGAAAACACGTAGCATCTTACGGCTCTTATCCTCGGCTCCAGAGGAAGGTCTCGATAACGAACATTGTTTTCATTTTTATAAATGCTTGTTTGCAATTTCTAT